AGGTTGGCAAAGACTCCGTCATTTGACGAACTGATCACGCGACCTGCGCCTGACGAGGGTGTGCTGAAACTGGGCAATATTGTTGGTCTTCTCTGAAGAGTCGAGCCCGACCGGTTACTCTGTGATGATGGTTCGTTGTTGGCGGCCGACGAAGGAGCAGTCTCTCCGCCACTGGGCGCTGACTGCTCCGGATGGGCTCGCATCAGTCGCTGTCGGTCATCAGGTTCGTCATCTGCCTCGGAATCGCTGGCGTCACCAAAGGCATCGGCAAGAGTCTGCTCTGCATCGCTTCGATGGGGGTCATTCTGGAGAAGTCTTCTTGACGAGAAGGAAGAGGAACGAGAGTGGAAGGAGGGCGGCGGAGACGAGGGTGTAGGGGCGTTTTGTAAAGGAATCGACGAATGAGAATGAACCTCGTCGTCCTCGTCATGGGCATTAACCTGCAAGTAGTCAATATCCTGAGGGGATCGATAGAAATCACGACTATATAGATGGAGTGCTGCCTACCCTTTGATAACGCTGCGAGCTCATGACGAGCTGAGCAGGTCCACGTAGGGGACACTCGGATGCGACAAAAGAAACAACAACTGTGAGATGAGAGAAAAGAAGACAGAAAGAAGCAGATGAAAGAATGTGCAGAGATGCAGGAAACAATCGATACGATACCTGTGAGGCGATGGCTTAGGATGTGGATGGAAGGGGATCGACCGCCGTCTCCGTGCTCCGTAATCTCCTCACTAATCAGGCAGACAGCGGTGGCGGTGACTGGACATCAGTGTGGCTGGTGTGGTTTGTGTGGCTGAAACAGCGGCCTGGAATCTGGGGCATCTCCGATTTTCCGATATCATCATCCATCATCTGCTTTATCAAAAGTTCAACAGCAAACCACAGCTCTATCTCCTTACCTTTGATCCTTGATCAGCCCTTCCGTATATTGTGGGCTAAATTTATCTGTCCTCGCATTACTAAAGACAAAAACACATCAATATCTCACCATGAGCAAACCAGTGAGTCCCCTCCACACCACCATGCAAAGAGCATCTCCTAACAGCTGCAGACTCTGAACCCCCAGACAATACAAAACCGCATCAGTCATCTCCTCAAACACTGGCCTACCGACCCCGTCCGCCCGGCCTCCGTCTCCGTCCAAACCTATCTCCAATCCCGACTCCAACCCACACAACCGCAACAAGCGCAGTCACAACAAGCACAGCCATCCAAGGTAGAAATCTCAGAGGCCTCGCTCAATGCCCTCTCGTCATTACTGGAAGACCGCTACGCGAGACGGTATCCGTTACCGCCGAAGCTGCGGCGGCCGGCGACGAACCCGGACCACTACGACAATGTAGTCAAGGAGTTTGAAGAGGCACCAGGGCGGGATTTCTGGGGGAGAGTGGGGAAAAGGCTTCGGGGGTTGTTTAGATTTACGTGATGGATGGTGTTATGGTGTATGATAAGTGTATGTATATAGCTGTTGTCATTGTACTATTAAAAGCTGGTTAACTTCGATAATTGAGCTGTGAGAGCACTTCTCTTGGATGGTTACTTGGTTATATAGTTAATGACCACGAGACTTGTCGGATGCAAGAGTATTCATGCCATCTTGATCAAATATGCAGCTTGGATGAGTTAGCTTCTTGCATCTTGCCTTTTGCATCCTATGCTCTATGCTCTATGTCTATTTTGAGCAATCTCGACTTGCATACTCAACCAATTGAGAATCGCTGTGCTACAAGCAGACCTCAATTCTCTTCCAACCAAACAAATACATACTTCTACTAATGATTTGTGTCCAAGAATCTGCAAAGCAAAGCATCAGCTCAGACCCTTTGCCTCCGCACGTTGTGTCATGACATCGAAGAAACCTTTCTATACGAGGTGGACAACCTCCAATTCGACAGGTCTCAAACACCCTGAAACGCAACCAACAGCATTGATTCTGACAGTCACTGCTGAAGGGTATCTGTCAGCTGTTCATTACATACTTTACATCGTGATGTAAGACGTACTGATATATTCGATGTATATATTCACATCTATCCGCATCCACCACCACCATCACCATTACCAAGTACAACCAAACTAAACACAATGCATCTCTCCAACCTGGCAACCTTCGTCTTCCTCACCCTCGCAGCAGGTATCTCTCAGCAATCATAACCCAACAGGGACAATACTAACGAAGATAGCATCCCCTGGCTGCCCCAACAACCTCTGCGGCGACAAACCCTGTGCAGCTCCAAGCGTCTGCACAACCTACACCCGCACCTCCCCCTCCTCAACCCTAACAACCTGCATCCCCGCCCCAACCTGTCTAACCGTTTACCGTAGTAACCCCCTTTCCCCTCCACCGTACACAAGCTAGACTGACAAGGCGACATAGAATCCTGCACCTCCGGCGGCAGTGGCCCCATCTGCTGCTCGGGGTACTGCGCCGCAACCAAATGCCGGCCCACGAACCCCAAGTGGCCGAACTGTGCCGAGGATTTCCAGCTGTGTGCTGCTGATGCAGACTGTTGCTATGGCTATAGTGGGAGTAAGTGTGTGGAAGGGATCTGTCGGAGGGTTTAACTTTGACTATGGATTGGTTTACGCTAATGCTTATGATTATGGTTGAAATGATGGTTATGGTATGCTATGAAGTATAATGAATTGACTGTGTTATGTAACTGGCTCTATCTCATCTCTCGTTTCTGTGACTATCTCGTACTGTCTAGCAGTTGAGGTTCACGGCTATGTCATGTTAGTTGGGACACTTAGAAGGCAAAAGGGGAAGAGAGAGGAGGGAATACCGTTAGCAAACAGGGCATAGGTATCCGCGTTGAGCAGCGCCTGGCTGGCACTCAAGGCGGTGGCAGCCCTGTATCCATAGGCGTAGTCCTCCGTGCCGGGCGAGTAGACGGCCGGGGCATKGGTGAACTCATGCAGGGTAGTGGTGGCCTGGTCCTGGGCGTGGCAGGAGCTGGCCAGGGCAGGGAGTTGGGAGTAGTAGATGTCGCAGTTGGCAACGACGTTGCTGGAGGGGAGAGTGTAGGCCAGGGTATTGGAGTCGCAGTAGCCGTAGGGGTCGGTGCAATAGTAGGTAGTCTTGCCGGAGGACTGGGAGGAGGCCTCGCTGGCGACGGCGCGGAGGCGCGCGGCGACGGTGTTGCGGGTGCTGCTGGAGGTAGTCCTGAAGTACTCCTGGAAACGGGTGGAGGAGCCCGAGGAAGCGGCGCTGGCAGCGGCGTTGGCGAGGGAGGCGGCGTTGCGCAGAGCAGTGGTGAGGGCTGAGGCGCGGCTGCCGGAGCAGGAGATCTTTGTGCGGCTCTCAAGGAGCTTAATGGCATGGGGCACCGCGGCGGCCTTTGCAGCGTCGACCTCGATCTCGAGCTCATTCGACTTGTAGGGGATGTAGCCCGAGATCTTGTTGTTTGTGGTCACGGGGACGACACCGTCGGTGCGGATGGTCACAGGGCCGCCCTGGGTGAGGTCGGCGGTGCTGGCGACGTCGAACTCGTCCTCGTAGGTGGCGCCGGCCGGGAGGGTCATCACGGCATCGTCACTGAGGCCTTCAGTGACGAGGCGCCGCTTGATTCCGGTGAACTCGACCTCAGTGGCTGGACTTGTCAGTATGTCTTTGTCTCAGGGGCAGTCCAAGGAGGAGGATACCATTGCGGAAGAGCGAGACCTTCTTGACCGGGGCAGCATCGTGGAAGAAGTTGAGATGCACAAAAGTAACGTCCTCGCTGCCGGTGTTCTTGACGGTGGCCTTGATGCGGGTGTTGTCGACCTGGGTCAGGGTGATATCCAGGGTTGGGGCGTTGGTAGGAAGTGCCAGAACGCCATTGATGACGGCCAGAATGGCAGAAGCGAGAACGGTGACCTTCATGATGATTAGATTGGATTGAGATGCTGTGCTGATGCTCTGCACTTGCTGATGCTTCTGTCAGACCTCGGATCATCCTCGTATTTATAGGCATCCTGACGCTGATGACTGAAACATCAATATCACAAACAAATATTGATATCCAACGGAGATATGTCCAAAAGAGGAGGTTACATCTATCCCGTCTGCCACCCTCGACTTGTCAGGGTAACAAGACCCCGATTGTCTGAAGATTTCCCATGGCGTTTTACAAGCCGCCAAAAGCACTCCACAAGGCTTCTCTAAGCATCACATCGCGGCCAAGAGAAAATGCCAAGAGGTAAGCTTGGCCCGCCGGAAGACCGTTGATATAGGTGGGCGAGATTCTTGTCTGTACGAGATATATCACCGTTGGGGCTTTGGATTGGGACGCCAAGAGGGTTAGTCCGGTCTGTAAATGATGAAGGAATTTAAGCGGCGGTCCTTATGCCTGAAGAGGAATGTGGGTGTCGAGATAGTCTGTCTGCCGAATGTATCTTCGGCTGTTGAGGTCTATCAGCATGACTCCGACTGTGATCATATCAGCATCTGTCTTGTGCTTGTTGACTCAACATACTGATTGACAGTGATCATGGTGTTTCTAGACTGATCTGCTCGTATCTGGACTCGGACCCTGAATTTCCCTGAGATTAGTGAAACGAGTGGATCCACTGACTCCTGCTTGTCAGAGATATCTGGTGCTGACTCGTATCGTTGACTGAAAGAGACAACGACATACTCCGAGTAGATTAAGTGCCGATCCTCACCACTTTATCAATCCTTAATATCCGGCTGATACTGAAGCAATGCAACCCAAGACTTCGTGTCTCACCTTCCCCTCTTCCATTTCCCACTTATTTTCTTGCTTAAAGCTTGGCGGTCTCCGCTGTGTATATAATTGGTGGATTGCATATCCTGATGCAAATCTTGAGGTTTCATCACTCATCTCATACCCTCATTGCCTCATTCCCCTCCGCGGCTTCTCCGGCTTCACTCCGGTCACTTCCAGCCAGACAGCTCATCATTTACGATTCTCATCAACCGAACGACTAATAACTGACAACTGACGGACTGAACGGAACGACTGACGACTGACGGCAACGAAGACGACGACATGACAAACCTCCAAGTAATCCTCTCGCCCGTCCCTCCCTCCGCCACTCCCCCAATCAATCTCCCCATTAACATCGCCATCCACAATCCAGCAACCACCCCAGTGACCTTCCTCAACTGGGGCACCCCATTCGACCCCAAAGCCAGCCTCCTGGGCGTCTTCCAAATCAACGACACCACCACTGATCATCCCATCACCATCGACACCATCAAGTTCAACCGCCAGCTGCCTCCCTCGCGGGACGACCTGGTTGAAATTCCCGCCGAGAGCTCCATGGAGCGCACAGTCACCATCCCGCATGTGCCACTGGAAGAAGGACACGAGTACGCTGTGCAGGCAAAGGGCATCTGGCATGGGATCTGGGAGTGTGCGCGGGACCAAGTGACGGATTCGCAGCTGCAGCAGCTCGATCAGAGGGGGGAGTTTGAGTCTGAGCGGGCTGTATTCAAGGTTACTCAGTAGTTCCAACACCCTGTATCCTGTACGGAGTACAGACCGTTAATGGATGTGTTGGTGTTGTACATGTACGACTAGTCCCAGTATATGACCTTCGCCTCTCCCTCACCTCACCTAGACTCTTGTAAGTGCTATAGCAATAGGACAATGGGTGCTTATATTGATATCCCCACTGATGCAGCCCGCGTATTCTCCGTCCTCTCAGCAGGCGGGATAGGCATCGTCCCCTCGAGCGTCGGCTACGGGATTGTAGCCACGGAGGCTACCGCACTGCAGCGTATCTACACTGTCAAACGACGCCAGCCGCATAAGCGCCACGCTATCATAGGCAGCTATGTCCTGCACCGCGGGATACATATTCTCCCGCCCGACAAAATGGATCTCGTGCGCTTGCTCACGGTTGACCTAAACCTCCCGCTTGGTGTGATCGCTCCGTACAGACCAGAGCACCCGTTGATTGCAAGACTAGACGAAGAAACACTAGCGGCGAGTTCGATGGACGACACAATGGCCATGCTGGTTAATGGTGGGCCGTTCCAGGAGGAGTTGGTGAGGGTGGCTGCTGCCAGCGGAATGGCGGTGCTGGGATCCAGTGCGAATCTCACCGGGCAAGGGACGAAAACGGTAGTGGAGGAGATTGAGGAGGAGATTCGAGAGGCGGCGGATATTGTGGTTGATTATGGACGGGTGAGGGATGGCTGGCCGCGGGCGAGTTCGACCATGGTGGATTTTGAGAGTATGCGGGTGGTGCGCGTTGGAGCTTGTTACGAGGTTATTCGTGATGTGGTTGCCAGGTTTGCTGGTGTGCAATGGCCGGAGAGTCCAGTGATTTCTGGGAGATGAGTATCTACAGTTAAAGTGAGATATTATTGTTGCTGGTGTAAGTTAGGCTTGCATCAGCAGCTGGAACGAGTAACATCTTATATCTGCTGCACCGTCAGCACTCATTCGATCTGAGTACTATACGAGCATCGTATAGCATCGTATATCAACCAATAAGTATCTCCAATGACCGGACTAAACCACCTAAACCGCCGATCATGCAACCTCGGGTGCACTAACCTAACCCCGAATGGCTTCAATTAGCGAAGCCAGAGTATATATCCAGCTTCCAGCTCTACTCCTCAGGACCACCATGCCATCAGCATCACCACATCAAAATGAAATTCTCACTCCTGCTCCTCAGCGTAGTCTGCGCTGCAACCGCCACTGCAACTACAACTGCATCTACAAACCAAGCAGCAACGCACGTAATCTACTCCTACCCCGGCCCCTCCCCGCCAGCAAGCCTCCTTACTCTCATCTCCACCGGCAAAGTAGGCGGCCTCATCCTCTTCGGCGAAAACATCGACGCCAACCTCTCCACCACCATCGCCAACATCCAAAAAACCTACACCACGTCCCCACGCTACAATGGCACCCCGCTGCTAATCATGACCGACCAAGAAGGCGGCAAAGTCCGCCGACTTCCTGGTGGCCCAACCCTCTCCGCGAAGCAGGTCGGCATGTCGGCCGATCCGGCGTCTACAGCTGCAGAAACTGGAACAGAAGCTGCGGACACGCTGGCTAAATACGGCGTGAATGTCAATTTGGCGCCTGTGCTGGGTGTTTACCGCTCCGCGGGGGACTTTCTAGATGAGTACGGCCGGTCCTACGGGAATTCCTCCGGGTTGGTAGCTTCTTGCGCAGAAGCTTTCATTCGCAACCAGCAAGGGCACGGAGTGATTGCTACAGCGAAGCACTTCCCTGGTCTTGGGGCGGCAAGTGCAGACGAGAATACGGATCTCGTGCCGGTAAGGATTGACCTCGGGCTGGATGAGTTGCGGCGGGTGGACGAGGCGCCGTATACGGCTGCGATTGCGGCGGGGGKGGAGATGGTTATGGCGTCGTGGGCGGTGTATCCTGCGCTGGATGATAAGCCGGCTGGGTTGAGTGAGAAGTGGATTCAAGGAGAGCTGAGAGGGAGGCATGGGTTTAGGGGAGTGACGATCACGGATGCGATTGAGGCCGGGGCGTTGAGGGCGTATGGCGATGATGCGGCGAGGGGGGTGCTTGCTGCGCAGGCGGGAATGGATCTGATTCTTGCGTCGGCGAGGAATGTCTCGCAGGGCGAGGCGATTGTGGATGCGCTGACCAAGGCGCTGGAGACGGGGGAGGTGGATACGGAGGAGTTCGAGGCCGGCACGGCGCGAATCATGGCATTGAGACGGACTTTACATGTATAGACAGGTTATCTAGATCATGAGTACATATAGCAGTATTCTCCCCCCAATGGATCCATCAAGTCGGCTACCCTCTTCGGGCCCCCCAAGACTCCAAACTCCACTACCGTTTCGATCGTCACGTTCGGCGCCCACGGGGGATCAAGCATCCACGCTGTCCCATTCAGCGCATACTGTCGCTTCTGATCTGCGTTCTGCCACATCGCCCACAGCCGATCCACCATCGCATGATGCAGAAAGAACGCCGGGTCCTGCACCGACGAGAAGACATCCCCCATCGTCGGCCCGAGCGCAACATGTCCGGCGGCATGAGCGCCCAACCGGCCAGCAGTGCTTGGATCCAGCACTTCCAGGAACTCCTGGATCGTTTGCGCAGAGAGCATGCGCTGCACAGCGTCAGCGCTGGCAAACCGGTGCAGCGGACGAGGGTTGAAGCTGCGCATCAGACAGCGGGGATTGTATCTAAAGGCGGAGGGATCGAGCGGGTCATACAGCTCGTCCAGGCTGTGGAGGTTCAGCGGGCCCATGTTTGCTGGCCAGGCGGGGAAGGTGAAGGGTCCGGCTGTGACGCAGCCGCCGCCGCTGCCTCGGCCGATACAGCCTACCTGCTCGTCGCAGAGGATGCGCTCGTCTGGGTTGTAGGTGCCGTCGCCGGAGAGGGAGGTATGGGAGTTGTCGAAAAGTGGAGAGACGGCGAGGTTGGGATGTTGGGGCCAGTTCCAGTAGGGAATGGAGCCATTGTAGGCGCATTCGGTGCGGAGGGCAGTCTCAAAGAGGTGCAGGAAGTGGCGGTGCCAGGGGAGGAAGATGCCGTTGTTGTGGATGTGCGAGGTATAGTTGATATGTGTCCTGTCTGTCATGAATCAATGCATGGTAGACAAGAGGATGGAACATACGCTACAAAGTCGTCGAATCGATCCCGGACCCCAGGGTATTGCTCATTCGGGAGGATCGAGGGAAGAGACCGCAGACAGAACAGCGCATCGATGTAGTCCCGTCGTTCGAGGCGTGTCAAAACGCTCCTATTTAATCAACATTGCTCCTCTGTTGATGGCACCACATACCATTCTCGCCGGACTAGCGCATTGACAAGCGTACACGGTAGGGCAGGGATTGCAACCACGCCTACGACAAAAAGAAGAACAAGAAGCATGATTGCTTAAAGATCAATGATAGAGGCATGCCCAATATTTAAATCTGCCTGACAGCTAGACCGACCTTGCTGTGTAACAGTGCTTCTGTTTGCACAGGGATCAGGATCAGAGCCAATACGCTAACGGTCTAGGAGAATATCCACAAATCATACGATGATTGCATGCTATTATTGTCTTCCTGTACGTACATGCTGACAGTCACAGCTACAGCTCCAGTTTATGTTCCGGTTCGTCCTCGCAAAACACACTCCAGATCGGCACTGGTTCATCGCTCTCGTGCACGCCGGGTCTTAGCAGCGTCTGTCGTCCGATACACATGGGGCCTCTGTAGTTGGTCAGTATAGTCAATCAATTCTGAGGACTCAATCGGGCAGCGTACGTGAAGAATCGGCATGGCTTCTTGACCGACACTGTCGTCACCTCACTGTAGCGGTCAATCAGCACCATAACTGCATGCGCTGTTTACCGTGGACATACTAGGAATCCAGATTATGACAATCGCCCATGGGCACGCTGACTGATTTGCTGCCCTCTTCAATGGTTTCCAGCCCGATCTGCAATCCCGGTTAGTGCTGCGTTGGACGTGAGAGTGGATTACTAACAGTCGTGTTTTTGGCTGCCGCCGAGACGACCAAGAGCATGACCCAGGAGAGACGCATTTTGAATGATCGTATGAGTAGTATGATGGTAGAATAGAAAGGAGAATCGGGCAGAAAGGATTTATTTCTTCCAAACTAGGGATGGAGGGATAACAAGGGGTGGCTCAACTCGTGTCTCCCTTGCGGATCTATACACAGTGTAAACATTCCTACCATCGCGATGACATCAATTGTTAGGACCATTCAGGATCCACGACAGATTGAATCTCCTCCAGATAATAGTCCGATACGAATTCTTGCCCGTCCCATCATTGAAGAAATCACTCTCCACCAACGCTCCAATCTTATAATCCCCCGTCTTGGTCATACTCGAATAACCCCCCTCATTGCCCGCCCCAGCAACCTTCGCATCCTCCAGCTTCCGCCCATAATCGAACTTACCCGCGTCCTCATCATAGCTGATTCGCACGCGCATCTCCCGCCGACTCGTGCCCGACGCGGAATTCAAGAAGATCGTCCGCGCCGGCACATCGCTGTTATACCGCAGCACAGACCCCTCGCACGCCGGATCCGGCAACCCGGTGTCCGTCGCAAACGCCCCGAACCCGCCATCTAGCGTCCCCCGCGCCACAATCCGGTACCCCTTGGCGCTGGGCCGGTCGTTGCGGTACAGCTTCCCGTCCGGCGTCTGTGCGATCGTCCCCTCCGCCCCGGCCCCGGAAAGCCGCTGCACGCTCCACGTGCGGTTCCCCGGCGTGCCGCGGCCCACGATATTCCGGCCCATGGCGGGAATGACCAGCTCGCCGGTCGTCAGGCGGATGCCGTTGCCTGGGCCGACGGCGTCCCAGGCCCAGCCATTGGGGGTGAGCTCCTTGGTGAGGTCTACGGGTTTCGACCATGTGTTGCCGTCATCTTTGGACTCGGTGAGGTACAGGTGTCGCCGGCCTTCCCAAGTGGAATCGATCTTCTTGGTTACTGTGCCGTCGGGGAGGACGTCATTGCCGTGCTGGCTGTAGGTGGCGCCGTTCCACGAGAGGAACAGGTAGATGGTGTTGTCGTCGTCGACGACAGGGGTGGGATTACCCCAGGTGCCTGCACCGGAGCCGACGACTTCGCGCAGGGACTCCCAGTCTGATGGGGCCGCGCCGTTGTTCGAGGTTGTCTTGGTACGCTTGTAGACGAGGTTGATGTCGCCAAAGTCCTGGTTTGTGTGCCGGCGACCCTCGGCGAAGGCGAGGATGCGGCCGGTCGTGGTGCGGACCACGGCGGGGATGCGGAAGGAGTGGAAGCCGATTCCTGTAGACAGCTTGTCCGGTGAGGCCATGTTGGCGCTGCGGAAGAGAGGGAATTCATCGTGGTAGGGGGCGGCCGATTTGGCCGGGTCGTTGATTGCCCATGCTGGGAGGAACTGCACAAGCAGCGCCAGTATGATCAAGCGCATCGATTGCATCATGTCTAGTTGCTGCTGTTGCGAATGTAACCGGCAGTGTGTCAGGTTTTATAGCCATAGCCAGAGGATCATCCCGATCGTGATATCCAAACATTCTTGAATATCAACCCACGTGGGTGTCTTCTATAGCTAACTAAATATAACCTCGTGTTGATCAGACAGACCTCGTATACGATCAACATTCACGTCGTATTTGTTCGATAACTTTGTACGGCAAGTAGCGAATACGAACTCGAAATTAGGCCGAGCGCCTCGTCGAGCTACTAAGGATTCCGCCGTAGCTTGGCGCCCGCTATTGTGGTGCATTCTTGTGATGCTCAATTGCAGAATGGCTCTCTGTCATCACGACATGGAGGGCAAACCGCCAATGCCACTCGTGTCCATGATCCTGTACTCGAACCAGACGAACGCGCTTATGGTAGCTCGTCGCTGCCAGGCGCAGGTTACATTGAGTGAGGATGTTCGGCACGTCTCCCCGATATGTTGATATACTGAAGAAGGTCGTCCATAGGCTGAGAGGATATGCCTCGKATCAGTCAACGAGGTCATAAACAACTGCAATTAGTCTCTGCAACATAGATCCGATAGGTTTGATTGCAGTCAGATCGATTTCCTGCTTGTCTTGAAGCAGTCCCTTTTGTCTAATGATTCAAGGACAACTGCTGTCTTGGTCAGGGGTAACTATCCACCAGTCCTTTCACCTTACAGCATGCGTGGTCATGACGCTAAATGAATGAGGCGTCAATGCTCATTCTTATCCATCGGAACTTTTTCCAAAAATCCCCTGCCAAGTGCGCTAGCCTTCCAGAGTTGGCCTCAAAACGCGAAGGGAGCAACGATGTACATCCGTCACGACATAGTACCTGGCTAAATTCACTTTAGCTAACCTCTGTCACGGTACGAGTGTCCAATTTTCCAAAGTGTTATCTGCAGCATCCAATTCCCAGTCGTATCAGCCAATGGAGGACTAGAATATCTTGCTGTCCTGTTGTGAAGAGCGACTAAATAGTGTTCAGATAGCTGACGGTAGCGGGAAGAAAATCAACACTTGTAAACTGGCTTCAGTAGTACATCATGAAGCACAGATATTCTTCGCCAAGAAAAGCAGTCATAGTAACAAGGATGCTTTCTTAATTTGATTCCTCATATCCTCCAGAGTGTGCCCATTAACTAATTTGTCCGTGTATGGCTCGGAGGCAGAGTCGCTCCAGTCAATCGTAGACAAAGTCTACTGGGGAAAGCTGAGACACTGTCATTAGCTGTATGATGCTTGCACAGATAACCATTGAAATCTCATGTGGTCATAATAGCATTAAAACCGCGCAGATTAATGAGCAGCCAGTGTACTGCAGTCGTGCTTGCTATGGCTTTGACCGTTATCTGGTTAAGATTTGACACGATTGAGAATGAAACCGACTGATTCATTAACTACGGAGTATGCACGAACTCGACGTCAAGCAGATCGAATATATACCCAATAGCATTAACTGCAATGAGCAACTCCCTAGCTTTGCAATTCCACTCCAACGACATGATAACCAGATATGACAAAGCACATAATGAAGGAGACTCCACTGTACAAAACTGGACACATATGAAAAGCCTTAAACGCTTTGCAGAAAAATGAAAAAGCCAGGATGCGTCATAGAGTTGGCGCTCAAAGTCTGTCTGAAGTATTTGTTATGGGGACCTCGAACCTTCGCTGGTATTGCCCAGTTCTCAATTGTGTTCAAATCAAGAATGATCGCCGCCGTCTTAGTAAGTTTGATAAACCAACTTTCGAGACGCCGCAAGGCCTCACTTGCCCTAGGAGTAAAGGCTGCATCCCTTGTGTATACAGGGGCCTTGGATAGCGTTGCCTGAAGGGCATAAGGCGGTCTTCCCCAAGGGTGTTTTGAGGTGTCTCCATCTCCGATGATCTGGTCAGTCAACAGGGACTTCAGCTGGTTCGGCCATTTCGACTCCTCATCCGGGATATCGTGGGGAATTTTGTACACTTCAAGTAAGTTGTCAGATCTTTTAGGCTTTTGCTTAGCCCAGCCGGCGTGTCGTAACGCAACCCAATCTCCATAGAGTGACAAATCTTTGGGTAATTCCCATTCATGTTTGTTATCATCATCATCATCATCATCATCTGAGGAATTGACATATTGCAGTGGTCTCTTCTTCTTCTGTGTTGCTGCTTTAATTGCAAAAACAGACAGCCTGATCACTGATAATACCCATATGACACCATTTCAACCCCAGTAACCACCCGTCATACTCATTGTCCGTGGACTCATGAGGGATGTAATCAGCGTTAAGGTCGTCTCCGAGGTCGTCACTGGAAGTTCCATCCTCGTTATCTGGTGCTGACAACCTATCCATCACCTGTTCAGGCTCGTTCTCAATACCTATCTCTCCATCAGTCTTACCATTATTACCCATGTATCTTATCGCTCTTCATCCATACTCATCTCTTCATCAGTCTCATAATCTTCAGGCTCATCGCTCTCACTCTGTCTCCTTCCATTTCGAGCTCTTTGTGCACATGTAGTGGCACACTTCGTGGTAAAACATTGGCAGCTATCAGAGCCATATCTGGGACGTTGTGTACTTTGATCTGTTGCCATTTTGAACAAGTACTCTCCAGACTGTCCTGGGAAACGCCCTCGGATTAAGTGGCAAGGCTCAAATCCATAATGGGTTCCGGCACAATGTGTGCACTCGTATATGATAATAACCAGGTCATTCATTGCAGGTGTCCACTGCTCGTCATCTGTGAAGATCTTGAGTCCGTTGGTCACCACGGGCACCTGGCCAAAGGTCGCCCGCGCAATCTGTGTGGCCTGGGCCACAATACACTGGAAGATCATGCCAGCATGGTGGAAAACCTCCACCCAGAACGGATCGTGAGCAAGGTTTGGGTCGGTAGTTATGTCATGAAAAGCAACTTCAATGAGTTGTGCATTATCAGGCAAAGGAGCACCACAGCCCAGGCACTGAGATATGATGGCTATTGTTATATTAGCAAGTCTGATAATCAAGGAAGAAGAGGAAGAAGAGGAAGAAGAGGAAGAAGAGGAAGAAGAGGAAGAAGAGGAAGAAGAGGAAGAAGAGGAAGAAGAGGAAGAAGAGGAANAGAGGAAGAAGAGGAAGAAGAGGAAGAAGAGGAAGAAGAGGAAGAAGAGGAAGAAGAGGAAGAAGAGGAAGAAGAGGAAGAAGAGGAAGAAGAGGGAGAGAACAAGAGAAAGAACAAAAGGCCTTACCTGAATAACTGCTAGTTTAATTAATAAGCAGGAGAAGTTGCTGAGGAGAAAGAGGTAGTAGTAGTAGTAGAATAAACAAAGAGAAGTTCAAACGGGCTGAGAGGTAGAGTGTAATGGTAGTTGAAAAGAGAAAGGAGGAAGATGAAGAGAAGAGGAAAGGGAGGAGAGAAGGGGCTCTTATATTCTGGAGATATAGCAGGTAGTGAATGAGCAAGACAGAGTCCCACTGCACATTTCGATCAGGTAGTAACGTCAGAATAAAGAGCTTGATTCTGGAGAGGGGCAAAGTAAGTAAAGTAGTTGTTTCAGATTTCAGTCCTTGGTAACATACTGTTGACCTAAGCACGACTCAAACCAGAAGGTTCCTGAAATTGTTCTCCAAATCCTGCGTGCTGCTCCCGTTACCTGTATCATCGCCAGAAGTGTGCGTTTGAGCAGCCTGAGCAGGAGCTATGCCTTCCGGCCCGACATCGTGAAGCCATGCTATTAAACCACACTCCGGGCAGCGAACTGCCTGGACCACTTCGAACTTCTTAAAGCCAAGGCATTTACTGCAGTTGCAACACCAAGCGCAGCGAGTTCCCCATCCTTGGAGACCCTGACAGGACACGCATCTGTAATAAGTCTTGCCCCGAATCGAAACTGGCGCTACTGCGCTGTATAGGCGCTTTAACAATCCGCACCGGATGCAAAGGCGCATCTCAGCTTCGGTGCCGTTTTTGGCACAGCTGCCTGTTGTCTGGCCGTCGTCGAAGCCCTCGTCCGGGACCATCGTGCGGCATTTGAAGCAATCGTGTTTGTTTGTATTCCTGGGTTGTTAGGTCTGATAGTGGTTGTCAAGGGTGAAGTTGGACTAACTGTGGCCAGAGCTCGTAGCCCTTTAGGAACGATACCTGCTGGGCAGCGTCTCCCGGAGGGTGGACATCTACGATGGCGCGGAAATATTGACTTGTTTGATGCAGGGCGACCTTCGACGCGTGGTCGCAGTGTTCGACAATGAGGAGGTGAACCTCTGTAGGAAGATTCATGAAGGGTTGGGCAGTAGAGTGTGCCATGATGATAGTTGTTTGAATTTCTGTGATATTTGCGATTTGTATTGCTTGAAAGCTAGTAGCTTTGTAAGGATATGCAGATACAAGAATGCAAAGGTAGTAGGAAGAGAGAAGGAGAGCATGATTGAGAAGGTTTTATATCCATGATGGAGAGCACAGTGGTGAAGTCTATAAAGGTACAGAGCTCTGCTCATTTGGATATTCCCTTTTACATTAGATACTTCCAGAGTAATTCACTATCCACTGCCTGTCAGGTGGACAAGTACACGTAAGGGTCTGCATGTTTCCTTGATTTAGTGGGACTTGCCTTTACCTACAGTGAATGATTCATTGCTATTTTTGGCCTGAAGTAGTTATAAAGTATTCCAAGAGAAGCAAACAAATTCCATATGAACAGGGCTAAGCCTGCAGGTTTGAAATTCACTGTGTTGATCATGACTGTAGTTATGGTTTGGAAATAACCCAGAGAAACAAACAGCAAATGCTACATCTGATACGTAGATTTAGAAAAGAGTGTGACTCAACTACTAGCCAACCAGCTCACTGGTCGTAGCTCCAGCATTATGTACGCTGGTTTCTAGTTTGAAGCAGGTGCTAGAGATCGATTCTCCATTATAGCCGTGCATATCAATTCAGAGGACGGTTCACTACAGTATCCAGTTATTCCTGAGAAGAAAAACAAGCCAAGGAATAGAGCAGTTTATCAATCCCTACAATGAGGAACCCTCGGGAGTGCGAAGTACTGAAGACGAGCTCTTTACTAAAGTTGTAAACTGGCATGAGTTGGTAGGCCGAGCGTTGGACATGGATATATAGAGGATGCCAGCTAGCTGACCAGTGTAATGGGCGAATTCACATTGTCCTGATTTTATGGAGGATAATGGCTGGAGTTGCTATCAATGGTATATTGTATATGCACTAAATCTTGTATCTCTTCGTGGCAACCAGACCGGTTGACTACAGACGCTGCAGGAGATCGTGTTGGAAAAGACCGTCATTTTGAAAAAGAACTAAAGCAATCCAAGAAGGTCAAAAATGGAAGAGAGTGCGTAGGCAGGCCAAGTTCGCAGCTCACTGTACTCTTGAAAGGGTTTCAGAGTTAATACAAATTGCTGCTTCTAAGTCTAGTCAGGTCTTATCATAGAATAGCTTGCTAATCTTGGATTACGACTATAGATCACACGCACTACTCGAATCTGGCGGACCTCCTGGACTCGCTAGCTCAGTTTAGACTGACCCCATTCTTCAAGGTATTTTAGTAACCGTTCGGCTTACAGCAGTCGGTAGTTAAACCTTTTCTCGGTAAACTCTATCAGGGCCCGAATCATGGCTAGAACACCAGGCAAGGTAATAATAATGTTGAAATGTAGTTAGTTACATGGTGATTGCGTCACCGCGACTGCATGACACTGGTTTCCAATAGTTGACCACTTATATAGTACATACTTAGCTTAACAGCAATTGAGACTTCACTTGATCCAACTTCCAAAACTCGGGGTAAAATCACTTGTCTGTGTCTAGATCTTCTTTCACTGCATGAAATCATCGCAGTGGGGGACATGCCACAACAACCAGTTAGTGCGTCAATTAATCTCTTAGATGCAGCAAAATGGAGCGCCGAATCGGTCCGTGACCTCCTGAGGATTGCGTCAGCAGATGATGTGCAGGCAGGAGCAGTGACACAAATGATGGCTGTGGGGAACAGAGTCCTAACTAGCGGAGAATTTCAAATGCGGTCAAAGGAACTACTGCGGCGATTCAGTTCTGCTCGAGTGGAGCGTCTAGCTCTGTCGGTTGGTTGGTGCGCGGGCGATACGGCAACTTTTATGGGAGAAACACGCAGTGGGCAGGCAGTAGCACTGCTATCCACATGTCTTGTAAACCTTTACAGCAAAACGGAAACATGCATCATTCTTGAAGGTCTCTGCAGCGAAATGTTATCGGCAGACCAGAATTTATGTTCTACGGAGCAATTATATACAGTGGCAAAAAAGCTATCGGATAAGCTGCAAGCTCTGGGCTTTGGAAATCTTGTCGCTCGGGAGACTATGACGATACACGCGGCGTACGTGCAGCTGGGATTTGAAGTTCCAGATGATCTCCTCCAGCTCGTGTCACCCGAATGGATGGTTGAGCTGATACACGCACTAAATCGAGCTCTTCTTGAGGAGGAAACCATGGTCCGAGTGTACGGTACCGGCGGAATGGCGTATGTCCTCGCCGTCGCAAAGTTTCTGTTTGCCCATGATATGGTCGTCAGTGTCGGAAACTTTCTCATTTACGAAGGAGCTCGTCGATCCATCTTTCTTGAGTTCACGACAGATACACCCGGGGCAGCAACATTTCAACTTGGAGCAAGATTACAGAACATAGCCCCCTTGCTAGAGCAGGACCGAAAACTTTCAAATACCTCACGCTGGTGTCAATTCTTATGGCCAAAATGGATACGTAGCTGGCTAGAACTTGAGTTCGCCAGTTCGGGAGCCACTTGTTCCGAGAGTGTGATCAAGGCCTGTTGCGGTATCCTCCCATTCGTACTCAAACTTTGGAAAAGAGGCCGAGCAATCCCTTCTTGGGCCGACCAAGGGTCGCGGTCTCACACAACATTCGAACATCGTGATGAAGAACGAGACGACAGCATGATGTCTTTACTAGGGCCGTCACCGCAACTGATAATTAAAGACCGTTGTAACGTCCTTTTCGGTGCTGCAGAACCTGAGAGATACCCAGACTTAGCATCTGCATTCTTAATGCTGCGAAACGCAGTGTATAATAATCTCGAGTCGGTTGATTGCAAATGCTCCTCCTGGCTTGGGAAGTGCAAATTCCCCAGTGACTCCCCAAGTGACGTTCTTGTAGGGGCATGTATACGACAACATATATGGCGTAGTGTTGGCAAAGCAATTGGATTTGCCTTGTTCTCCCTTTTTATTGAGGCCGAGGATAGGGCTACAGTCTGCCCCGATAACTGGGCACGGATGGAAAATCTCGCATTTGACCTAATAGAGGGCCGGCCTTTTAAGGAATTTAGCCCTGGACATCGTTTGTCTTTCAAAGATTTTCTTCGGCTTCCCAAGACTCGGGAGTCCACGGTCGAAATCGGTGATATGATCGCAACCAGTCACAACGGCTCTGCCATTTATCCTGCTGTTCTTCAAACCTTGGAAATGCCCGATGACTGGATAGTCTCCTTCAAACTCGTAGACGGGGAGTTCATTCACAAGGGCCGAAACTATACTGCCCTCTACTCCGCTTGTTCTACAAGGAGAGAGAAGGCTAAGATGGATATTTACTCAACCCAGAAACAAAGTATAGTTCCTTCGAGAGACGGAGTTCATCAAAACCTGGATCTGTTTCTCCGAACAAGCCTCGACAGACTGTTAGTGGACACCGTCATTTGGGTTTCCGGCCAGAGGATAGCGGTTAATTTAGCTGATATCATCGGTACCTTTGTCAGACTCGAAAGGACAGCACCATGTGGACATCCGAGATCCTCACCCCTAAAACTTCCTTATGGAGAACAGCAACCGCAGAGTTCGAATCAAAATACTGCCTCAACCAGCCGTTTCAACAATCTGAAGATTTTACTCCGGAGGAGGAAAATCCCAGATGCAGCCAATACAGATTTTTATAACGACCGACCTAAAGTTACTTTAGGTGGAAGCGTAACTATCATGTGTACTTCAGTTGCAGCTCCCCGAGCTGAGAATGCTGAGATCAGTATTGCAATGACTGCAGGAGATGCAACTGCTCAATTACTTTGTTGTGAAAGTGAACCTCCTTCACCTCTTAAAAGACCCACTGTGTTTCGTTCACCTGTTCTCCGTTTTGTTGAAAATGAAAGACCTATCTTGCTTCAAAGGTGTTGCCTTCAGTGTGGGATCCAACAAGCAAGGAGAGAAAATTGCAAAGTTGTAATAATTCATTAGTCTATTTTATTCAGGAAAAAGCATGAGTTAATTCTGTGCACTGGGAGAAAATCAACTATACTGGAGAAGTGGGGCGGCTGGGGGGCAGGCGCCGTCTTAAATACGTGGTCCCTGCCAAGCTTCCCTGCACCAGAGAGATCAACTCTTCGTGGCTCAGTCCTTTGCAGTTCCAAATAACGGTAGTAAATAGCATGATCATTGTCCAACGCCACTATCATGGCGGCATAGAAGGGGTGTTAGGCAGTGCTGAAGCTGGTGGTTAACACAAGGAAAGATGGACGCGGACTTCCAAGGACTCTGGAGGATCGAAACAATGCGCCAGTGCCCACATTCTGGCAGGAATGTGCCTTGCCATGTACAGTAAAATCACTTGACTTGTGCAAATACCCTTGGCTTCCAAGCAAACATGCAGCTATCTGATGTAATTCCTGACCTGCTCTGAGTGACAACTCCATAGCAAATCATGTTACACTATCTAGAACTATTGCTGAGTCTCTGGTGAGTCCTCTATCAGATCAAAGATTTTCTTCCAGTGTATCCTCTGTGACGGGGCCCAGGGGCATGCGCTAAGCAGGAGGGAGATACCTATTAGAGGCTTATAGTAAGCTTTAAAGATATATACAGTAGCCAGGTATGATTTAACCGTGGGATCAAATTATAGTAGGTCTTTTGCCTCAATTGGGGCCGCGTAGCCTGGCACAGGGTTCTCACACTTATAATCTTATAAAGGAACTAAAAGATAAAGCTTCATAGATTTTATAGCTATCTAGAAGAGAGAGAAAGATATGCTATAAGGCTATGTAACTGAGGTAGATAGCCCTCAGTCATTATAGGCCATGTGCCTGCCGGCTGAGAGTTAATGATAGCACAACCGCATAGTAATATTTATGCTGCAAACCCATGAAGAGGCATGTGAGTGCTCTAGAACTATTGCTCCTATCATACTGTGAAAGGGTGACGGTCGTGTATTCAAGGAGACTTATTCCAACCTTCCTGTACATTGTCTTACTGCCACAGCAAACATCAAAACATAACCCTCGGCATGATCCCTGAGAAGACACAATCATCCAGTTCCTCAAAACAGTCCGTGTGAGCATAAGAGGCAAATAGCAAGGTCTCCATTGACCACCTGGTGCAGTTTCCCATGTGCCATCTCCTAATCTTGATATCAGCATATCTAAGCCACTCCAATGGTCTCAGAAATAGAGGAGCTTGGCACATACCATATAATACATAAGAGTCATCCCGCGTCGCAGCATCGTAAACTCGACGTCTATGCAATTAGCGCATTGGCGATAAACCCCGTACACCACTTCACTGCGGGTGTCGGTAATAATATGCCATCTGGTCATCCATGGCGGTATTGTGGTAAGGATGGTAAGTTCCCCCGTTTGTGCCACAGGAGATGCAGAATCTCCTCGACGCTGCGTAGCCATTTTTTCCGCATTTGCCGGTGATTTGCTCGTCGGTAAAGTTGTCAGCCGGCAGAAATATCCAACATTCGAAACAAAAGAAGTGACCCGTGTACCTAGAGGTAGGTTAGTATAGGATTGCACCTTCCATGACCCCCGGCCTGGACTATCAATTCGAGATCTACTCACTCTGGCCACATTTCTAGCGTCAGGTGGTAAACATTGAAATCTTCCGACTTGAAGTACTTTGGATCCTTGACGGTAACGGCGGACCGGAGGTACTTATTTGCATTTTTCAATGCCACTGCCGAGGCAGGGTCAAGATACTCGCAGATCATGAGGTGAATCTCTGCTGGGAGATTGAGGAAGGTAGTAGTGGATGCCATGATGGAGTGGCTTTTGTGCTCAAGTTAGACCAAAAAAGGAGTAACCAGGAGGCAAAGAGTCGCATTGTTCCAAGAGTTCTGCTTTTATAGCACATCATGCTTCGCATTCTGTGACTATTCCAGCTGCATAACGGAGTACTCCGTTGTGAGAAGTCTGAAGAGATGCATGCTTTATCCTGACTTCGTGCAGATGTGAATGGGGTGTGCATTATATGGCTACTGCCAGCTTCATAACGGAGTACTCCGTATGAGGGAGCCTGAGATGCACCCTCATCTTGAGAGCAATCGTAACTTGTCTTCAATAAACAGTAAGCTTCTGGCATCAGATTCACAGTGTCAATGAGGACCGCACAGGAAGCTTAGATTCGGTCTTACATGAGTTAGGGCTGTTCCTCTGCCTGGATGACAGGATTCTAGTCATGACTATGTGCTTCGATGGAAGCGTTGATGACTTCCTTGTGTTTGACCACCAAATTCTTGCAGCAATTCAAATGACTTTGCCAGGACATTATAGCTACTCCTGCGCACAGTAAGCCCTGTAGCCTGGTCAAAGTATACTGTCGACACATCATAGTGACTTTGGTGCGGCATCGATGAATTTTCGTAAGAGGCACAACGGCTCAAAGCACAACAATCGATTATATTGAAAATTTTTCTCTTTACAAAGCAACTATCATCCTGCAATGAGACATGAGCAGAAATTGACGATTAAATGCGTTGAAGCAGGCCATCAGAGGACTCCGGTGGATCTCGTATATCGGACCCACTCCTCACAACTTCCTAAAACGGAAGCCCAGAGTCAACGCCAAGAGGCCAAGCTTCTATGTACTAAGACACTATCCTGCATGGTAAAGATGCGTCGACTGAACGTGGGTTCAATTCTCCGAATAGAAACTTATTCTGGAAGGTTGGCCTCACCAAGCGTCTTGGCCGAACGCCCGAACGCCCATGCTTAGAAATCAGAATGTCCTGTAGATATAAAATGAGATATCGTCGGCAGGTTGATTCCTAGTCATGAACATGACTATGGAGGATAAGCCTGTTAGAAAGGTTCCTGCCGAGATGGCAACCCATGATACAGAAGACAGCGAAGCTCGCCTCGAAAGACTCGGCCGCGAGCGACCACCCTGCTTCTCCAGTTTGTGGTCCGAACTAACCTTCTGCTTCTCCATCGTCATGTCACAAATCCTCGCTGTATGCTCCCTCACCCCATAGCTCCTGCTACCGACTGACCACATAGGAATACTACATCTCCGGATCCAACATCCTCCTCCCAACCCTCATCTCCGCACTGGACATCCCCCTCGCCTCCTCCATCTGGCCCTCCACAGCCCTCTCGCTGGCCGTCACCTCTACCCTCCTCATCTTCGGCCGCCTGGCAGACATGTACGGCGGGTTCGCATGCTACCTCTTCGGCGCTGCCTGGCTCACCGTCTCGTCCATTCTCGCCGGCTTCTCGCAAACCTGGCTGATGCTCGTCATCTGCCGCGCACTGCAAGGCCTGGCGCTCGCTGCGTTTCTCCCCTCGGGAATGATGATCCTAGGCAGCGTGTACCGCCCGGGTCCGCGGAAAAACCTCGTTTTCAGCGTGTACGGCGCCTGCGCGGCGCTGGGGTTTTTCGTTGGGATTTTCTTCTCCGGGCTGTGTGGGAAATTTCTCAGCTGGCGATGGTATTTCTTTATCGGGGGAATTCTGGCGGCGGTGACGGCTGCGACGTCTTTTTTCTCGATCCCGAATGATTTTGCGGAGCGCAGGAAGGGAAGGAAGGTTGGTATGGATTGGTTGGGGGCCGGGGTGCTGGTGCCCGGGCTCGTGTTGCTCGTGTTTTCTATTGCGGGGAGTGCGCATGCGCCGAGGCAGTGGGCGACGGCGTATATCGATGTGTGTCTGGCGCTGGGAGTGGTACTGCTCGCGGTGTTTGTGTATGTGGAGGGTTGGGTGGTGGCGGATCCTCTCGTGACGGCGGATGTGTTTGCGGTCAAGTACATGAAGTCACTGCTTTTCTCGCTTGTCTGTTTGTACGGCAGTCTGGGGATTTTCCTGCTGTATGGAGCATTATAGTACGTCTCCTCCTGATCTATTTCGTGGCCACGCTAACCCAATCGCAGCATGCAAAGCATCATGCACGCCAGTCCGCTGCTAATCGTCGCCTGGACAGTCCCCATGGCGTTCGGGGGCCTTCTCATCTCGACAGTCGGCGGTTTCATCCTGCACCGCATTCCCGGAACGATCCTCATGCTCATCTCCTGCTTGGGATACATCGGCTCGGGCCTCTTCTTTGCCCTCCTCCCGGAGAACGGAGGGTACTGGGCCTTTGTCTTCCCCGCGATGATCTGCGGGACAATCGGGATCGATATAAGCTTCAACGTTACTAACGTCTTCATCACGAGTAACATGCCGCTGGAGAAGCAGGGGCTGGCGGGGGCGCTCATTAACTCCACGTTGCATCTGGGGATTGCGCTGCATTTAGGGTTTGCGGATATCGTGCAGGTCAACACTGAAGATCAAGGGCTTCGGAAGAGTTACCAGGCCGTGTTTTGGTTCCAGGTTGCGCTATCGTGTCTGGGACTAGTGGTGAACGCGTTGTTTGTGAGGATTAGTCGGGCGAAGAGCGATTTGACCGTTGATGAGAGGAGGGCTCTAGAGAGTAATCTATAGCATCTATATTCCATACAATACAGTCTACTCCTTCTGACGAAGACGAAGTCTCTCCCCCTTCCAATGCAGCAGCGCCGTCGGCACAAAACTAACCCCCATAATCAACGCCGTCACCACACCCGCACTCTTCGCAATTCCCACTTTCTCAAACATCGCCGTGAACCAAAACGGCCCGATAAAGCCCCACTCGGACCTCACGAAATTGATAAACACCCCGATACTCCCCGCATCCGCCGGATACGTATCAACCGCATACGTCGTCAGCACCGTCGTCACAACCTGGTTCCCAAACGCCGCGACCCCCGTCCCCACCACCGGCGCGACGGTCCACACCCCTTTCTTCGCGTGCTCCGTGCACACCAGGAAGACAACCATGCCTGCGATGGTTAGCAGGAAACCGATGTAGCTCAGCCAGAGGCGGAATTCAGGCGGCGGGCGGCGGGATATGCGGCGCGCGCGGAAGGCCATCCATCTGTCTGAGGCGTGGCCGCCTAGCTGCTCGCCGAGGAGGGAGCCGATGATGAGCCCGAGGAACTGGAGGCCGAGTTGTTGGGCGTTCAGCGAGAACTTGGACTGGAGGAGCTGGGGGACTTCGACGGAGTTGAGGACGCTGCCGAAGAGGAAGACCATTGCATAGGCGCACGCGGCGGTCAGGACGGGGATGTTGGTGAAGAGGGTGAGGGGGTGGTAGAATTCGCGGAGCGTGAAGGGGGTGGGGTCGATGCGTCGGACGGAGAGGTATTCGCGTTGGAAGGCTGTTTTGCCTGTCCCCATGTCTTTACCGATGTAGCGCGTCTCGGGGCCGAAGAAGAGGTAGAGGATGAATTGGACGGCGTTGGTCTGTACTCAGTCAGCGGTATCCTGGTAGTTTAGATGCAGAAACGTACAATGGCCAAAATCCAGTATATCCACCTATATCCCACGCGCTGCGCGACAAACCCAAAGATAAACGGCCCAATCGGCACCCCAAGTGTAACCATCACCGTCCACACACCCATATACCTCGCTCTCTCGCGCTTGAAAAATGTCTCCGCGACGACAGCACTCCCAATCGCCATAGCAGGACAGATGAAGAACGCAACGAGCGCCCTGCAAGCCGCCATAGACGCATAATCCGGGCTCTTGGCGCAGCCGATATTGCACGCGCAGCTTAGCACCAGCGAGACCAGGAAGATAGGCCTCCGTCCGAAGCGATGCGAGAGCGGTTTCCAGAATAGCGGGCCGCCGCCCAGGATGGCGATCTGCAGCGAGGTGAGGTAGCTGACTTTTTGGATCGAGACGCCCAGGTCGACCGCGATGTCTTCGTAGGCGGCGATGATGCCTGCTGCGATGAAGGTGCCCATGAATGCGTGGAAGGCCACCAGGAGGAGGTTGGTTATTCTCTGTTTTCTTTAATCTCTGTTCGACAGTCAGGATGGGCAGAATTACCTTCCATAAGGGCCAGTTGTATGGATCTGCCGGGTCCATGCTCGGGAGGGGGTCGAGGTCGAGGGTGCCATGTCGCTGGAGGAGATAGGCGCGGTGAGGCTCGGATAGTTCGCTGCCTGGGTATGGCACGATGTCAACGTCTGTTTCTGCTTTCTCTAGAAAGTCAGAGTGCGTTTTCGTCTTTCTGGGTGTGTCGTCCATGGCAGAGGTCGGTTCCGGTAGATCGATGGAGGGCATGATGATGCTCAGAATCGTACAACACAGGTAAATAAATGTCCTGGGACTGAATCATGGAGAAGCCCCTTATGACTGACTTGAAAGGTGGGGATCAAAGTGCGATGGGACAATAGTCGAGATGGCTATTGGTTCGTCATGAAGCTATTCAGTCTAGTGCCCGGTAATTGTCGCTGAGGGTTTGCCGTGGGGGAATCCGGGGAGGACTCTCCACTCGCTGATACGCTGATCCCCCGCCATCCTGGGGATTTTCGGTGCTTTTTCTCTCTGTGTCGCCGAAGACAGCTGTCATTGCTTGCCGAGGCTGGGCCAACTGCCGATTTGGATTTCCGATGTACAGAATCATTTTGTCAGCGTGATTGATATATATACATAACCAAATAGTTCATAGGCAAATAGTATCAAATGCTATCATTCTCTCTGTCTACATAAGTCACAATCCGTATAATCAGTAATTCAGTATTCTAACTTTTATATCACAAAGTTACAGCCAGGCACCGGGAAGTTTAACTATGCTAGGCGACAAAATGATTCGAGGCAGAGACTTCGCCAAGTATACCAAGTCGGTTCCTGCAGCCACAAAACTTATCAAATTGGGTTCGGTGCGTAGCGGTAACTAACTATAAATCTCCTGCTTCGTGCACTCAACTGTCCTAAATCCTAGACTAAGCACCTATATTCTTCTTCTGCACCTTTGGCTCCAGAGGAAACACCTGCTCTTCCGGTGTCACGTTTCCATACACAATGTCCCACCGCTCCCGCAGAGGTTCAGGCGTCTCCCAGGCATTTTCCGGGTCGCGCAGCCAGAGACGTAGCAAATGTCGCCTGTCTTGTCAGTACTTCATAGATATATGTATATATATTACCGGGGGCAAGACTTACTCTTTCCCCGGGGCATCGCGGAACCCCTTGCGAGCATGGAAAATGCTCAAGTTATTGACATACTGCACGTCACCCTTCTGGAAATCTAGCGAAGCGCTGTGCTCCTCCGCCAGAAAGTGCAGCGCATCGAGCGCTTCGGCCTGTGCCTCGGTGATGGGAGGGATATTCGTTGAGCGGGGCTGGGCGAGGAAGCCGGTGAAGTAGCGGCGGGCGTACTGGATGAGGACGCGCTCGGGTGTCGAGGCCGTTGCGTCTTGGTGATAAAGCAAGGGCCGCGATGTATACGGGCGCTCGGGGTTATTGAAGCTAACGCTGTAAGTGGGGATTGACAGCAGGGGGCTATAGGCTACGGGCTCCGGACTCACCCATCCACAGGCCAATCCGTCGCCAATGTCCAGATCAGATCCGGGCGTTCCTTGGCGAGGATGTTGTACACCAGCCAGCTGCTAGATATCTGGCTTTCGCCGCCCTCTGCGGCTGTCTGGAGACAAAGCAGCGAGATGATATCGCCTGCATCGGTGTGGAAGACCTGTTTGTCAGCTGTGCTGCCGGGTCCGCCGATGTTTCCTGCTTGATCGGTGCGAGTCAGGTCCTTGATGTGCGCGAGCATGACAGAGGTCCCGTCGGCTTGTCGTTGGTCCTGCTGCCGGCCGCGAAGGCTGCCGATGTGCGAGGAAACGCCGGCGTAGATGAGAATGTTATCTTCGCGGGAGTACCGATCGATGTCTAAGCCGCGGAGGACGAAGAAGCCTCGACCGTTGTGGATTTCCTTGGAGCGTTCTCGCAGAATAGGATGGAGAGTGGGAAGGGGGAATGTCTCTTGATTGACGTGGCCGGGACCAAGGCCCAGGGCTGTGGACGTTAGAACATGACTTGACATTGGTTGGATAACTCACACTTGAAGCTATTCAACGCAGCGTGGATCTCCTCTCGCTGTGCGTCATTGAGCTTATAGATCCAGTCATCACGCTTTTCTATCTCCTTGCCCTCCCAGACAAGAGGAGAAGAAAGCTTCTCGGGGAAACCAGGAGGGAGAGACTTGGGCAGATCCTCGGTTGCCTTGCGACGCTGCACGCGGGCGAGATACTTATCGTAATCAGGATGATACTGGATATCAGGTTGACGGAGTGTCTGAACTTCGACCATTTTGTGACTTGATTCTAGGAATACTCTTTATTATCTGATGGTCAACTCTGCGCCTGGGCTGTAAAGGTGGTATATAAGACCCCGCACGCATCACATCATCTGATGCCCGTATAGCGAAGTATTGCACCATCATATGTACCACACTAATCTGCCATCCATTAATATGTCCCCTCTCTAATCAACGCTTCCCTATCAGATCTCCCGCCCGAATTTGCCAAAATGTAACTGGATACATATCTCACCTCTGAAGGGCAGTAACCACTCTCCGGGGTCGGGCCGGGATCGGTCCGATCACCAGGATTTAATGCTGACAGATCTGATCTACGACAATTCGACAAGACCTTTTCTGTCTTCTATCTAGTTTTGGCAGCAACTAACAAATGAGTGTCTTCCACTATTTTTCGCAGCTGCCTGTAGAATTACGCCATCTCATCTGGAAGCACTGCCTACCTCATCGGATAGCAGAAAAAGACACCCCGGACTTCCTTCTCGACGGCAACGAATCCCGTCAAGCCTGCTGGGCCAAGTTCATCACGCACCAAAGCGCATAGCTGCCGATCATTGGATTCGTCAGCAGCGAGTCTCGGCAAGTCGCGCTGGAACAAGCATTTACCAGTCTCTATTCCAAAAGGCCATGGAAGCATGGAAACGATAAGCCGAATGGACCATACTCGCGTACATGTGGCAGATAAACCTCGCTCTTATTGGGATAAACCCGCCTCGCTTAGCCTAGATGCTTCATACTCGCTTCCTTCCTCTGCAGGTCTTGCGGTGGTGAAAGCGAATTGCGTCGGAGGTTTGACTAAGGAGTGAACTATCTATTTATACTTGCCGGAGGACCAATTAGTTGGTCGAGTCGAAAATCACCAATTACTCACCACTACAATAAATGCTATACTTGCGAATATTCAACAACCGCACACTACCATTATGTCCGTTCTTGATCTTGTTAACTGTGAATCTGCTTATTGTCAATGCTGGTTAGATGTGTTTCTCTCAGCTCGTATACAAACTTTCGCCTAAGGACGTGATGAGTCAGCATCGCCACCAGGCAGACAAATTCACCTTTGGTACTTCAGAGTTCAGACCTCCTCTCGTCATTGACATCTTGCATGAATCCATCGGCTACAAGATGAAAATCGCCATCATTGGAGCAGGCATCTCCGGATGCACCGCCTACCTCCAGCTCAAGAAACACCTCCCCGGATCCCCCACAATCACCATCTACGAATCTCATGACACCAGCAAGGATCGCAAATTCGACGCATCCAAGGGTAGCCAAGAAGAGGATGCTACGCATTCATCCACCCTCATCGTCGGTGGAGGCCTAGGTATCGCACCCAATGGTTTGCGTGTTCTCAAGCGTCTGGACGAGGACCTCCTCCACGACATTGTCCGCGGCGGATACGTAGTCCCGCACGGAAATCTAAAAAGCAAGCACGGCCGTCTTCTCGTCCGTATGGACAGTACTGCTCCAGGCGAGGGAGATGAGCCGCCGATGTACATGATCGGCTGTAGTCGCGAATGGCTATGGCGCTGTCTGCGCGCGAGGATCCCCGACGGGGATATAGTGACGAAGCGTGTGGAACGGGTTACCGCCAGTCCTGACGATCGGAATACCATCTACTTCAAAGATGGCAGTCCAGCTGTCGAAGCGGATCTGGTGATTGGCGCTGACGGAATCAAAAGTGTGGCTAAGCGGGCTCTTTTCCCAGAAGCGGAGGAGGACCCGTTTCCTCCTCATTATGAGTGAGCAATCCTTTCTCTTCCTAAGTATCAGAGCTGACAAGAGCAGAGGTGTTTGCGGTATTGGCGGCTTCCTGCCGTCTAGTGAAGTCAAAGACCTAGTGGAAAAAGGATCAATGAACTTCATCTTCGGCGGCAATGGCTTCTTTGGCTACTTCTTCAGCACCAGTTCTTCCACCGCTCCGCACCGGGACTCACCGCACCATGTCTCTGAACCCGGTGATCTTCTTGCCTGGTGGTCGACCTATTCTGTGGACGAGTGCCCTGACACCAAAACACTGGACATGGATGATGTCCTTCAGCAGCTGCACAAGCGACACGAACACTGGGGAGATCCCGTCGTGCAAAAGGTTCTGAAGTCCGCGCGTGTGAAGAGCATGTATCCAACTTGGACGTCGCCGCAGCTGCCGACGTGGGAGCGGGATGGCGTAGTCTTGGTTGGGGATGCGGCGCATGCGCTCCCGTCGACTTCGGGGCAGGGATCGTCGCAGGCACTGGAAGATGTAGAGTCGTTCACGAAATTCTTGAGCTACTTTCTTGGCAAGGTGGAGGGCAATAGTGTCAAGGAGTGCAAGGAGGCAGTTAAATTAGCAGCGAAGCAGTACATGGATCTACGCCGGCCGCGGATCCAGGCGATCCTGGACAATGCGAGGAAGATGCAAAACAAAAAGCGAGATATGGGGGTTATCGAGGAATATCTGATGTATTCAATCATGTGGATTATGGGTATGTCTGCCATTAGATTGGGGGATGTGGCTAACTGTGAGGTACAGGCTTCTTTCCGAGCCTGATGAACAAGTTCGCGAAGCAGGTCTTCTCGTATAACATTGCAGAACATGTGGACCAAGTGCTCGCAAAGATGGATGCATCTAGACATTGATTGGAATTGTGGACTAGCGTGGGATGTGGCCCAATGTCGGTTTCATTGAACCAGGAGGTGATCTGTTCTCTGCTCTCTGTTCTCTGTTGCTGCAGTGTTTAGTTCTGATATTCTCTGGCACGTCTATCGACTCGTTGTTTCCATCATTTGACTAACACCATTACTTAATACTGAGAGAATATGGAATATATCTGTTTATGAAATGTTTACTCGCTAAACGATACTAATCCCGACAAGAATTGTAGAATCTATCTCTAAAGCGCTTCTAAGTTCAACTGCATTTGCTTGCAATTCCCAGGAGATTGCCCTGGTAGGCAGCACTACAGCCTAGTAAAGTATCAAAAGAACAAATATCCCATTCATTAAAACCAAAACGAGGGGCAGAAATAGAATACCCCGCGCGATCGTCCATAACGCCAAGTGATTCGTCGCTTACTGCAAGCTAATGAACGACAGCACCACACTTTCTCAGCCTCACCACTGCACTGAGTAGCTTAGAGGCAACAAAGACAAGCAATGGCGGACCCGGTATCCATTGTCGGCCTGATACTACAGGTAGGCCATACCGCAAAAAGAGTATACGAGTTTGCGAAGCAAATCAAAAATGCCGACAGCGAGATCCGTGAGTTATTCGGGGAGCTCTTCGCGCTGAAGGCGATTCTCGAAGAGATGCGGACAGACCACATCGAGGAAAAGGGTGCTCAAGGGGTGCCATCGCCGTTCAGGGATGCGTTGCTCAAGGCTAATGCCGTCCTGGAGGAAATTCTGGATGATCTGCAGAGAAGAACTATGCGGCAGTCGCGGTTGGCGAAGTTGGGGTGGCCGGGTAAGAAGGGGGGTCTGGAGGGAAACATTGCCCAGCTGGAGAGGCTGAAGACGTATTTTATTTTGGTGATTTTGAACGATAGATCGTGCGTGTGCTTTCCCGCTAAGGAAGATGGGTGGAATTGACGGTTTCTAGGGTTGTTGAAAAGGAGACGGCGCATTCTATTGATGCTGTGGTTGACTGGAGTAGGGAAATGAGGCAATTACGGAAAGGTATGTCCTAACTCATCTGATACTTTGCTTCGCTCATGTCTCATTCTTGAAGAGAAAACGCACGAGAAGATCAAGACGTGGATATGTCCCGTTGACGTTGATTCGATGCATCGCAAGGCTCGGTCGCTTTGTCAGCCTGGTACTGGGGCTTGGTTCATCAATGGACCCTTCAAGTCATGGATTGCAACAGAGGGCAAGTGCCGGTTGCTTTCGCTAGAGGGAAAATGTGAGCCACCTAGATGTTGAGTGTAGTGAGATGCTGACCAAGACCAGCGGGATCAGGAAAGACTGTTTTATGGTACATATTGGAAACTCCTTGCCATGCCAGCTGCTAATCTTCATCAGCTCGACGGTAATTGAAGCCGTCAAAGATACTATCGCCACCCGTACCTCCAGCCAAATGATTTACTACTATTGCTCATTCCATTTGAGTTCGTCGCAGGAGCTGGTCTACCTGCTAGGAGCATTGCTGGTGCAGCTATCTGAGACCTGTCCAGAAATTCTCGCCGAATTGCAAAGTTTCAACAAACGCACCCTTCCTCAACCAGATGTACTGATGAGTCTGCTTCTAAAATACACAGGTGCGCTGTCAGAATTGTTCATCGTTGTGGATGCGATCAATGAGAGCAGTGAAAGTGCAAAGATACTCGACGCATTACTCACCCTCTTGGAGTCGTCAGACAACATTCGCATTATGATTACAAGCACCAACTCGCCCCCGGTGCCAAATCCCGCCATTAGCATCCTCCGGGCCCAAATGAGACCTTCCACAAATAGAATTGACATTGATGCATTTCTCAATACTCAGCTAAAGTCAGTCCCGTCTCTTCAACGTCTGCCGGAACACATCAAATTCCGCATCAAGGAAGTCCTGCTTGAGAAAGCAAGTGGAATGTTCGTATGCTCTATCGCCACAAGCGGTGTAGGCTAGTCTAACACATTGCTGCAGGTTTCGATACGTGCAATGTCAAATCGACCTTCTAAGCGCTCAGAAAACAGGCCGGGATGTTATTCGCGCTCTGGACAGCATGCCGGAAAGCCTGCACGGCACCTACGAAACTATACTATGTCGAATACCTTCGTATGACCGGGAAATTGCAAGAGAAACCCTGCTCTGGCTTAGTTCAGGCTACCAGGAGATTACCCTGTCCGAGCTGAGCGAGGCACTCGTCCTGACGAAAGGGGATAAAAGCATCGATGACGACTGTAGACTCTTTGACCCACACGTCATCCTCTCAATCTGCCAAGGGCTAATTGTCTACGACGAGCGTACTACATTTGTTGCTCTAGCGCATTCGTCAGTCAAAGCTTTTCTCACATCGGACGCAATCAAAAGCGGGCCAGCAGCGTACTACAGCCTGGACGAGACGGAGGGATCACGGCTCATTTGGCAAAAATGTCTGACGTACCTGATGCTTGACGAGTTCAAACAGCCTTGCTCGAGCTTTCGCTCTCTTGCAAGACGTCGGGAAATTTACCCGCTGCTCAAGTATGCTTCCGAGAACTGGGCGAGCCACTGCAGTCCATCCTGGCCATCGGGCTATCCTCTCATTGATGCCGAAATCGACGAGATTCTCTCTTTCTTCGATACCCGTCACCTCCCTGACGGGGGGAACTATACGTCCTGGATCCAGGTCCTTCTGTACGAAGCTCCCGCTGAACAAGCCCGCAGGACGGAGCCGTTATACTACGCTGCATCCTACGGCATCGTACCCTTGGTGGACCGACTCATCCGGTCCGGAGCGAACGTCAACGCGGGTGGTGGCCGTAACAACGCAACTCCTCTCATCGTCGCCTGTTACAGAGGGCAAACGGCTACCGTTCAGAGATTGTTAGAAGGAGGCGCAGACCCGACCGTTCAGGATGCAATGAAGATGGGCGGCCTGGAATGGGCGATCAAAAGGCAACATCGTGGTATTGTTGAGAACCTACTATCGCACATGTGTAAGACCTTGGGCATGGGATCATCGGGTCTATACTGGCAGTGTCGGGGTTGCAAGTTCCAGAACCCGATTGCGGCTGCTCTGCTGCCGTGTGGTTCATGTGGGAATGATTTACTTGACCAGTATGGTACTAGGTCCGGGGGCTCTGCGCTACAGAAGAGTAGGACTTGGTCGCGCATTGGTCGTATTACTGGCGAGCCAAAAGATCATCAAGTGTCGTCTGAGACTTAAGCTTGGGATTGCAGCCAATGGCTCCTTTTTCTGGTCTTGATCTCGGTTCCCGATAGAGCTATATTGTGCCGTGACATAGTCGATGTAGAATAGGAGCATATGTAACTCCCCTCTGCGAATGCATGCGGGCTTGAAGTAAACCATCTAATGCGCAGGATGCGTTCTTCAGGAGTATTCCTCACGAGGAATACTTGGAATGCGGCGCCGCTGGCTGTGACTCAATGACGTTGCGGGATATACTGCTGTGTCGCGGGCTGGCCGCCACTCCATGTATAGAAGACGGTTTAATTCTTGTAGGGAAGCGCCCTTTAGATAGAGGCTCGATTTGATTCAAGTTCTTCATGGTAGCTATTTAGTACAGAGTCGTTGGGTTTATGTTGGTAGTGGAAAGTAGTTCAGCCTGATTGATTTACCTGTCTTATATGCCCACTACAGAATATCGTTAGCAAAGTGGAGCATATCCCCGCAGTGATTCATCCAAGGTTCCATATCATGAGTCAATTTGCGCACTTGTACCATCAACACAGAGATAGCATCACCAGTTACCCACTCAGGTTTCTTTGGGCCCACGCAGATGCAAGCTGAACGATTTGTCATTGGTGACTAGCTTCGAATTTGGACACACGTCGCAAAAAATGCACTGTATACATTGCTCAAAATGCAAATTAAGGGTACAAGCGCCGTTCATTACCCTAAGGTCACCTAAAAAGTGATGGGCGTCTGGTTGGTCAGTGCTGGCTCACTCCGCCCAAAAATGCTCAACCACTGGAATGGCGGCCTCTCATTCAACGTATTTTTTCAGCGGCTAGATTACGTCCCAGACTGCTTTCTTGCCCTCGGTCATGTGCAGCCACTCAAGGTCTGTATTGGACGGATTGAGGGGCGAGGCCTTGGTCTCCTTGTAAGTGGATAGTGGATCGAAACAAAGGTCAACATGTCGAGAAATGCAGCTGAGAGCCACGGAGCATCCCAGTCCTCGGCGCCTCCCCACTGTTGCGATAACTGTTAGCCGAGAAGCGCTAGGCTCTGGATGAAGTGATAGGCCTCAAGCATGCTGGGACTGGCCGGCGTGAACGAGCCTAGGTGGCGCTCGTCCGTGGCTGAGATGGCCAATATACTGTGCATGACAGAGGGCCAGCATTCGGTATAGACAGCATCTTTTGCACGCAGCCTTGTCACAGGCTCGGCGCACTGCACGGTAGATTTTCTTAGAAGCCCATACATAAGTTGTAACATGACTGGATGAGGATACGAGGGATGGAAATAATCGCGGGGGTCCTGGGCTTACTTGCACCGCCCGCAGCTTGCAGTTGGGGCATCCATGGGCCATGGCGCGACTTGGACTGGACAGACTCCATGGATCACTGGAGAAGATTCGAATTGAAAAAAGTCAACTGACCAGACTGCAGGGGATCAGGGAGGAATAAGGCTAGTGGACCCTGAGGTTAGCCACCTCTCGTATAAGTATTTCTGGATTCCTAAGCAACTCAGCCTTGTGCTTTTCTTGTTTTGAAGCACACAAGTGAAGGTACGCCACGTCGGTTATACGAGAACTAAAGAATTCAGTTTATGCACATCAAGTCTTACACAGTAACACGGTATTCCCCTGAATATCCCCAATGTGGAAGGAGTTTAAGCTTTGATAGTACCCCACACTTTTTCCTAATATCAAGCATGTCGGCACTCACAGGATAGTAAGCTCGGCTCTTAACCTAGTGTCCCTATTCTATTTGCAAAGAAATACAGAAGTTATCATGCCATCCAACCATCTCATCTGGATTCCTCTGCCTCTCTTCGCCCTCTTCCCCCTTTCACTGGCAATGTATTCCTTCGAGGGCGGCACCCAGTTCATCTCCTATAACGGCACGATTGCTGGCCAATTCAAGCACCCGGCATCTGCACCTCCGGAGTGTCCCACCTACTATTTTGACACCCTTCAAAACTCATTCATCTTCGTTGGTGTGAATCCGCCGTGGGATACCAACCCCTTCTACTTTGGCATTAAACGTAGGGGTAAAGAGATGGATGGTTATCTCATATTACGGCCGATCCAATCTATAACCTGGATTTCAAGACAGCGGGCTACCGTATTTGTGTCAAGAGTCTGGGAGATCAATGCGATGGTCTTGAGATTGACGATCATTTAGCTCGACAAGAGGACCTTGATTTGAACAAAGCGACGATCGTCCAGTATGACTGGGGAGATGCAGGGAAAGGGTACAGCATTGCTGGAGACCAGTCAACCTTTGGCGGTGGTCCTCCCCCTAATAACTTTGACTTCCAACGACCCAATAACTATTCCTGGCAGGACGGCTGTGCGAACCTGTTACACTTCCAGTGGTATATGCTTTCCTTCTGCTTCGCTCCGAGGCAAGTCCATTAATCATCCTGGTTAGGAATTTTACAACGCCATTCACATACGCCGTCAATTTCACCAACACGACCGCCGAGGCACAGTTCTCGTTGACTGCTCCATCTGGCTCCGTGACATTCTCCTTCCTCGGCAACCGCGTGGATAAAAATGAGCCTTACATGGAGCCGTATAACAACGGCAACTATACCCCTGTCTCGCTGAATACCTCAAATCCATCGAAGCCGAGTTTCAACTTTGTGAACGGCTCGCAGTTCGTATGGAAGAACTGGTCCCATGGAGAATGGTCTGCTGTCGCGTCCGCAGCAGCACTCTCCGCCGACAAGAACCTTGCCTTGTGGTTGAGGTGGCTGTGGCTTTTGTTCATGGAGGTGACTGGGGGGCTTCTTTTTCTCTAGGGAATGGTTAACGGCATCCACCGAGGCAGACAAGAGCCACTACAGCATGGTAAAGTCGCTAGGACAGTATAGCTGTCGGCTTGGAAACCGGCTCTTAGCAAACTGCTCTGGCTACTGATGCAAGCACCCGATGGGGGCGTCCAATGGATACTGCGACTCTTATCTAGCGACCCGTATCTTCTTATCTGGGTCTAGAACCCGACGCTTATGGAAATCCAGTCCTCAAGTGTGAACTCATCACAGCTCCAACTCCCAAGGTAATATATATTATGGAAGCGTTTTCTTTTAATTTCCCAATAGCCACATGATGGGTGGCCCAACAACAAATGCGTAGCGATAGCCGCATGCAGTATAAGCCAGTGATCAAGTCATGTAACTGAGCTGGCAACTTCTAGAAATCCATGACAAGGCATGAGGCAATGTCATTGGAGCCGTGACTGATGTGCCACTAGACTCCTTGAAGGTCTATCCTCCTTTGTCAAAAGAGTCCATTGCCCACTGTTGCTTAAACCTCTTCCCATGCTCACACATACCATCATAGTTTTCACCAGGCTTGAAGACCATCCATACTGGGATTTCTGAGTAGTACCTCTTAAGTCACCAAGGTGAGTCAAGTATCCATCAATCAATAGTCAGGGCATAGCGCAAAATCAATGCACCTTTAGCTCACTTTTATAATCTTTGCCAAATTGTCGTGAAGCCACTACCTCCTATCTATCGACCTGCAAGCTTAGGCAAGGGGGCGAGCCTTCTGAAATGCCTTGTAAAATTGCATCGCTGACAGTAGCCCTGCTTGCCATGCAGCAGCGCTACCAAATCAAGACCAGGGTGACTTCGCAGGTATCCAGAAACCCCTAGAGGGGGAAATGGAGAACCGTCAGTCTTACACCAGTGGCGAACAGAACCAGGATTATTGCAACGGCGTCTGCAGAGGACCACACTGCTTCTACACTGCCTGCGACCACAGGGGCATAAATACAAAGTAGCAGAATATTGCGCATCTGGCTACTATGGGTGCGGAGGGCCCGCTTTTCAATGTCCTGGTTACCCCGTTGTGTGCCCAGGACAGGTTACACTCGAACGCCAGGCCTGTTGCGTCACTCCGATCTGTGGGCCGAGTTGTTGATCATCGATAAAACAGCATGCCAACCTACAGTCTGTAATTGCTCACGCTTTAAAAAGTTGGAGTATTCCAGGGGGCTGCTTCTGTAGAGGCCCTTTACCTGAACAGTGTTTACCCAAACATGTAATGTGATTTTGGGATTGTTTTCTTGCTTTTTTACGGACATCTTTAACAGTCCTGGTTGTCCATGGGGTGACTATAGCTGACCCTCACTCTTTACAAGAGTTCAGGTAACCAAATAGTAGATCAGCCTACCTAGAGTTGCATAATTGAACCGCCAAAATCAATGAACAAGGGATTATCCTTTTGGAGGGCGGTAATGGGCCAGCGATGCCGGCCAGGCTGTGAGGCTTTATCCGAATCATGGGTGTAACTGGTGCGTTGTATGGGTGGTATCTGGTGGTTGATTCTAGCGAGGAAGGGGAGGGATCCAGGATAGTGGATGTCTGAGCGAGAACGTCTTCTTTAATGCGGCATGCAGTGATCGACTTTGCAATGGAGGGTATTATGTGCCACGTGGATATTTGGGGGGTAGAAGATCAGATGCCTTCGTCCCGGCCCGAGAATAGGCCCAGTGTTCACGTGGTATCACGTGCAAGAGGTTGAGGACATCCATCATGAACCTCACATCACCACCTACTATCGCTTCCCACGGAAGACTGCACACCAGGAACGAAATATTTCCAGCACTTACCGTTTAGCGATGCAACCATAATGTCGTCGAGTCAAAAAGGGCCTCCCTCTTCGCCATCCAACCCTCCGTTGAGCGGATCCAACCCAGTCAATAGCCATTTTTTTAATCAGTTTTTGACACTTCTAGCGATCAGAATCCTTAAACGTTTTCGACCTCGAGAAGGGAATGTTCTCATGTTGACGGATGGAATATGCGTCAAATACGGTCGCCGCGTGCATCTATCTGAAGCATCAACAATGCGTTTCATATCGCAACATACGTCTATCCCGGTGCCAAAAGTCTTATGTGCATTTACTCATTCTGGTTGTACGTACATTGTGATGGAAAGGATTAAGGGAGACATAATTGGCAGTGGCTGGGTAAGACGAGGCGAAGATTCAAAGAGAAAACTTCTTTCACAATTAGCAAGAAACATCCGCGAGATGCGCGACCTTCCGCCCCCAGAAGGCATGGGGGTGGCTTCGGTTGATGGTGGATCGCTTTTTGACTGCCGCGTTCCTGGGCCCTCCTTGCGCTTCGGTCCCTTCGCTACGACCCAGGATTTCCATCGGCATTTACGCAGGGGCATGGAATTTGATCCGAGACTTGACCCTGAAATTCAGGAACTTATCAAACAACAAAGCAAAACTTGGCCTCTGGTATTTACGCATGGTGACCTTAGCAGTCTCAACATTCTTGTTCGCGAAGATGAGATTGTTGGCATTATTGACTGGGAAACCGCTGGTTGGTATCCATCATATTGGGAATACACTTCTGCCCACCAGGTCAACCCACAGAACTCTTTTTGGGTGAATGAGATTGACAAATTTCTACAAGCAATGCCTGAAGAACTGGCTATGGAACGGATCCGTCAAAAACACTTTGGAGATATCTAAGTGAACCTGGCTTGTATCTCATATAATGATCTCCTTCCGCTCCATTAAGTCATAAGTTGGAACCTTTCGCATATTAAAATTGCCCTGGCCATCAAAACGGTGCTGGTCTTTCTTCTGCTGACAATAATCCATCGCCTTGTTGCGCACCTTTTCCCACTCAACAACGCTTGTGCCTAACGCCTTGGGATCGAGCTTAAGCGTTTCCAATGCCTCTTTTACCCAGAAGACACAGTTCCAACCTGGTTGACCTTGCCGAATAGGAGTATTCCGCAGAATTTCGACTAGGCGATTTTTATCCGCTACCTTTCCCACCATGATGCGAATAAGCAGCATGCTAGTAGGGACAAGTAGACACTCGCGCTCCTCAAAGAACCATTCCGACCCTCCTCCCAACCCTGGCCGCTCCTTTGCGTGGTAACGGACACCCATACCATCCTCTGCTTCGACCTTTGGTCCCACAAGCAAGGCCCAGTGATATCTAGCTCAGACGGGACATCAGCCCTATGATCGCAATAACGCCGAAGAAGTTCCTGCATGATGGACTCACGTGTCTTCCTTGCCTGGCATTGTAGGACTACCTCCACGAGCATAGAGAGCAACATAGAGACGATCTTTGTTGGATGGCATTGCGCAGGTGAGCTTCACAAAAGACAGCTAGTTTTAGTGCTAATTTGAACAGGCCCCTCAAAAGATACTTGCAGGAATGGATATTCCGTGAAACTGGTGTACAAGCGGGCTTCGAAGGGCTTTATATCTATACATTTCCCATAGCTTCCCAACGATTCACCAGGACTTGCAGCCGCTGCCTGCGTGTGATGGGGATGGTTTAGAGCTCATCTTCCAATCTGCATCTCACCTAAGAATAGAATCAAATCAGTGGGCGCTTAATCTATGTATCATGCCCAGAATATGCGTTCGGATGTAGAAAATAAAGCTATTCATGGTTGGCAAGTGATGTTTGGTTTCAAATTACCGCCTGGTTTGTCGCCTCGATGAAAATGTTGCGTATAGGCCACGACGATGGTCATGATTCCAGTTAGCCAATGGATTTATGGAATTTTCGGTTAGCCGCCAGCTACACTGTGTAGCCACCGTCTGTCCTCGCACCATGCACACCAATTGCTTTAGTACTTACAGACCTGATTGTTAGTGAATCACCACGTTTCATAAAGAATATTATAGTGGCCTCTGATTATGAAGCAATTGAGTCGCTGACTGTATCCTGGCGATTGATAAAAAAATATGTTCATTATTCCTTGACTTGGTAGAGTGCTGCTGCTAACAAATGGAGATCATCTATACTCCGCACGCTCGTATATGTAGATCGTAACTTAGAAAGTTTTCTATAATTAAATTGTACTAGATGTTAGTGCTCGTGCATATTATGATGAATCTCCCCATGGGTCAATCACCGTAATTCATCATAGCTAGCGAGAGAACTGGTCCTCATTTTCCGAGGCCTACTGTAACGACAAACTAGTTAAGGGTGAGTGATAAGTTAGTTATTAGTTGAAGGTCACATCATCAGTAGGCGCTGAGGCAGTTTATCGCCTGCAAACAACCGATAACTGGCCAGGACAGTCGTCTGCCGATAATATCGATCGTGAGGTTCTCTGAGGCAAAGAGATACTCTCACAAGGGATGGCAAGACATAATGCACGGGAAGAGAAAGGAGAAAGAAGGTTCATCCTAGCAGACCCTTAAGTTACTTGGCTCCAGGTGGCCTTCCCCTACATGATTTGCAGACATCCTTTTCTATGAAATCCGTAAGCTTTCGTTTTGTACGCATTGTGTAATCTTACGTCGCATGGTACTATAGCATACGCAGCACATTTTACTGCGCCCTCAACTTAATGCAAGCCGCTCAATGAATAATCTGCGATAAGGCGTTGGTGGTGGGGCTAGGAAAGAGTTTCTCAGTGTATAGTGGTCAAGCCAATTTCGAGAATGACTGTAGAGTATCGGAATCTTTTTCCCGTTATTGACTATTTTACTGTAATGGTTTATCTGCGCCGGATGAACAATTGGCATTGATCATATCTAAGGTTTGCGCCACCGAATGCCTTGATTGGCCGGTGCCTTATCTATAGCAGATATGGGGTACATTTCCCCGATATCGGTATATCTCCGGAAATACTGAGATATTTGAGATAAGGAAGATGAGACTGATATATAGATATAGACGAGACGGATGCACACAACAGGATAGCATCCGTAAACACATCATGGCTTCCTTAGACACCAAAACCCCAGTGGAAATCACAGACACAGCCCTCCCCAAAGATGACTCTCCCCCGGGCGCAGGGATCGATCCTCGCGCTGAGCGTGCCCTAGTCTGGAAGTTTGATCTGCGCGTTCTCCCAGTTCTGGCAGTCATGTACCTCTTCAACAGTCTGGACAAGTCCAATGTGGGAAATGCAAAGACCGCCGGACTGGAGAAGACGCTCCATCTCAAGGGAAACGAATACAACTTGATCCTTAGCATCTTCTTTATCCCATATGTCCTGACGGCGCCGTTCCTCGGTATTCTGGGAAAGAAGTACGGTCCTAACCGCGTGCTGCCGTGCATGATGTTCGCCTTTGGATTGTGTACCGTCCTTGTCGTCGCGGTGTTCAATTTCAGTGGCCTGTTAGCCATCCGCTGGTTCCTGGGAATGGCAGAGAGTGCCTTCTTTCCGTTGGTTATCTACTATCTCACCACGTATGTCCCCTTCTACTATACCCAGATGAACTCCACTGACAGATCAGATTCTACCGCCGCGGAGAACTAGCCCGCCGTCTCGCCATCTTCTACGCAGCGCAGAGCATCGCCTCAGCCTTCTCCGGCCTGCTCGCATTCGGCGTCTTCCGGATCCAGTCCGGCCCGCTAGCATCATGGCGCTACCTCTTCCTCATTGAAGGAGGCGGAACAATCCTCGTAGCGATCTTTTCACTATGGTACCTCCCTCGCTCCGCAGCACACGCATCCTTCCTCACCCCCGAGGAGAAAGAACTCGCGTACCTCCGCCTCCAGCGCGACAGCTCGGCCATTGTCGACGAGAAACTCGACCTCCGCGACGCATTCAAGATCTTCCGCCACGGCACATCATGGCTCATTCTCGCCATCCAGATCTGTCTCGGTGTGCCCCTGCAATCAGTGCAGCTGTTCCTCCCGTCCATCATCAAGCTCCTCGGCTACGACACCGTCAAGACAAACCTGTACACGGTTGCACCTAACGTCTCCGGCGCAGTCATGCTCCTCATCCTTGCTTTCTGCAGCGACTGGACCCGCTGGCGGTTCCCGTTCGTGGCGCTGGGGTTCCTATTCACCTTTATCGGATTCGTCATCTACGCGGCGATTGATGTCAAGAAGGATATCAACGTCGCGTATTTTGCTTCGTTCATGATGACCTGGTATGTTATGCCCACTCCCTCCCACCTTGATTGATGAGCTAATGCGTTGGTAGGGGTACCTCCGCGCCCTCCGTCCTCCTGGACGTCTGGTACAACAACAACGTCGCAAACGAGGGCCGCCGCGTCGTACTGACAAGCATCGCTGTCCCCGTCGCGAATCTCATGGGCGTCGTTAGCTCGAATATCTTCCGTAATCAGGACGCTCCGCGGTATATGCCTGCGCTGATCACGACGGCGTCGTTCGGCGGGACGGGTATTCTGTTGACCTTGTTGCTGGGTGGGTGGATGATGGTGGATAATGCGCGGAGGGACCGGGTCCAGGGGAGGAAGGTTCGCGCGCAGGATGTCTCGACGGAGAGGTTACATGATGGGCCGGATTGTCCTGATTTCAGGTGGTCGTATTAGTTTGTTCTGTGTATATAGCTGGCTATATTGCTTTTCTTATAATGTCACGATGCTGGATGCTGTCATGCGGTTATTCTTTTGATTCAGACCTCGAAAGTGGTTGCCATTCTGAAAGTGCATCTGGGGTGAAAGATCATTGGATTAAAGGCTTCCTAGAAGGCTCTTAGTCAAATTTGTAACAGTCGATTTAATTCGCCAGTTAAGGTTACGAGGGATTATGAGCAGGTACGCAATTACGGAGAAACCACTTGTAAGGTCCAACAAATAACCACGTTCGGGATCAGTAGCACTATGAGATAATAGTTAGATAATTGATAGGAAACGACAGTCGAACATAGACCAAGATAAAGATGACCTAAAATATGAAAGTGTAGCCATGCTGATCAGCAGAAGAGTAAGTGTGTTTAAGAGATAGAAGGAACTGATGTTCTAGGCTGGGAGCCCGTGAGAACATCTACGAGCATGAGCAGGTATGAGGATTCCGAGTCTCCTAGTATGTTGTCCTGAGAATCTATCCGACTCTCACTGGAAAGTCGTTGCCTTCAACCCATTTGGTACTATGAAATGTCAGCGGATGATCAAGATAGTTAGCGATAACCTACTCAGGTTCTAAATCAGCTTTCGCATGATGCAAATCCCCCCAGCGGGCAGTCTTGAATTTGCAGGTCGGGCCGCGATTACAGCCGTCTCCAAATGTGCAATGATGACTCAGATAGCAGCGGTAGTTTTCGCAGTAGGGACCGCTAGTACACAGACTGCCCCGGGCTTTCCATCTGTGGACCGCGCGCTCCCCCGGCGTCAGTTTGACTTCGTGCTCCTGCGGACAGTTCGGTCCCTTGCTGCAGCCATCAGCCAGGAACAGCTCGTTACAGAAGGCTTTTGGTTTGATTCTCAGGCACTTTTCATTGTAGGTTCGATGATCATTCGGGTTCGTGGGCTTGTTGTTGGGAGGATCGATGCGCTGCCGGTTACTGTTGTAGTATATGACCCGCGGCTCTTTAGTTTTGGCAGTAGCTGCGATGAGGACGTTCTGGTGACCGTTTGCACCGCCAGCTGTGGCATATGTGGGATACTTAATCGAGACACCACCGTTGCCGGAGCTCACCACTGTCCCAACTGCAGGGGATGCTTGACGCTCTGGCGGAGTTAAGGCGGGAGAGTTTGTGCGGACGGTATTTGTCGTTGCTGGTCGCACGATAGGACTTTCCTTTCTAACAGTGGACGGAGGCGCCATCGGTGGTTGTGCAATAACGCTCTTGTCGGCAGGGGCCGCAGTCGCCGATTGTGCTCTGAAAGAGGCCAAAGACGTAGGAGGGATAGGCGGTGATCCGAGAAAGTCGGTGCGGAAAACAGTATCGAATCGGGTCATCTCAAATCCCATCTGATTGAAGGCAGGCTGTGCAGGAGTAGTCTCCAAAAGAACGATACGCTGTCTGCCCGACTCGCCTGCGTATTCACGAAGCTCATGAAGATAGCCGTTATCATGGCAACCAGCGAAGAAGATTTTCTTGCACTGGAAGTTTTTATAGAAATGATTGAACATCTCTGCGAGAACATTTAAGTCAATGAGATACCTGTCAACCAGTGCGACAACTTACTTCTCATTTTAGAGTCGGCGTTCTCCTTGCCGTGACCGACATTGACAAAATCGAACTCGGCACGACTATTAGTAAACTGCTCGGCAAACACCCGCATCTTATCCTCATAGTCGATGGCATTGTGGTGGAGAAGCGACTTGGCCAGCCCGTTCAGATTTGCAAAGATCCGCACCACAATAGGAACGTCCTCGGAGCCAAGAGGTGTATCTTTAAGGTAGTTCCTCACTGCCT